CCCCCCCCCCCCCCACTCTCATGCTCTTTTGTTGATGTTTTTTTGTGGCATGATTGATTTGATTTTACGTTGATTTGATTTGTTGTTAACTCATTTTGTTGTACGGCGAAAAATGCATTTTGCGCGGCCATTTGACATCGGACCTTTGACCCATACTCACACACATACAAACCCCCACACCCACACACACACACACACACACACACACATCAATTCCAATGCCTCATATCCGTATCCATCAACGATGGTTAGCTCTCCTCATGCGATTCCATTCAATTAGCTGTTGTACTAACCCACCATCATCATCCTTTAATGATTGAGAAATGTGTGGCAACCCTGGCTAAGCGAGAGCATGTCCACAGGGCTGTCAGACTTATAGACTTATATAGATGGCAATGCTCAATGGATCTTGGACTCGAATTGAGAGTTTTGTCAGAGTTTTGGCAAAAGAATTTTACTGCAGGTACAGTCATCACAAAAACAAAACTAAGGCACAGCAGTTGCCAGATAATCGGGGCGCAAAAAACGCTTCAGTCAGTTTCCAAACGAACGAGTAAAAAAAACAACAACAACAAAAATGACTGCAATCTCGCAGTTGCAAAGAAAAAATCTCACCATTCCCCAAAAGAAATTACTGAAAATTGCATTTTCTGGCGGAATCAATCAAGGAATCCGAATGAAAGCTTTTCGTTTTTGCTAGGCTCCCGGGAAACATATCAGACAGAGCCAAAGGGAAATGCGTAAGAGGAAAACGCTGTGGAAAATGCAATGGAAAATACGAATGGGAACTCTTGGGCGGACTGAGGAAAGTCCTGGAGGAGAGGGGAGAGCGGAGGTGTGCGTGTGAAAAGCGAAATCGTGTTAATTAATTTGCCTGTCGACTGACCCCGAAATGAGGGAGGAGCTCGACACCTGACCCCGCCAATGCTTAGCTCCAAGTCCCCAGTCATTTCTCCCCCCTTGAAAATGGATGAACCCCCGAAGGGCCAACCGCCCGACGATTGCGTGCCAATTAACCTCGTTTCCCTCTTCAGGGGTTCCGAGAAGGGGAACGAGAAGGATCTGCAAAACTTGGGCGAGTGCAAAATTTCATGTTTGGCTTTGGCCCAAAAAACATTTTGCATTATTTTTTGTGCTCATATTTCCAGCTAGCCAACAGACTTTTTTGCGTGGGCTACAACTACTACTATTTGCTGTGTGTGTGGGTTTTTCTTTATTTGTTCAGCTTTAATTATCGCTTGCTGGACGGAAATTATGCTGGGAAACCCTGGCATCCATACCACAGCACACCACAAACGCACTCGCACTCGCACTCACGCGTTTCATTCGATGGCCAGAAACCAGGAAACACTTTGCTAAATTCTGCATTGTTTCCCTCACACCCTCTATGAATATTTTCCCTGGTCCTGCAGATGAAATGTTCTCTATGCCATGGAGGGCATGCATGCTCTTTCTCCTTTTGGGAATACCTCTTAATTTTTGTGCACTTGGAAAGCGTCCAGAGATTTGTCTCTTTTGAATATATATGAATTTAATATACCTCAAAAATGGTAAATTTCCCTTCCGAACGATAATCCATCTCAACTGCGATTAAAATCGGAGCAACCAAAAGAAACATTCGCTTAAGCTTGCCTTCCAGGGTATTCCATTTTTCGAGTGCTGTACTTTCCTTCTTTTGTTGTTTGGTTTGGGTTTTTTGGTTGCTGTTGTTTTTTTTTTGGCGGAGAGACGCCTACACACACACACACACACACTTAACAGTACGCACCGTTTGCTGCATTGCATACTTGCAGGCGCGAAATGTAATTAAGCTGCCAAAAACCCAGCGGGGTTTCGCCTCCCCATATTCCCCCCACCGCCTATTCTGGCACACAAATCCCTGCCCCGTAAAGGGGTGTGGCAGGGTCCTCGAGTTAATTAAAACGATTAAGTTCGGCATAGTTCAGCGGCCGTGCATTGTCCGCATTTTTGGGGGCTTTTTGCAGCCGCTCAACTGCCTTCCGCGGCATGGCCTGGCAGTAGATCTGGGCTTTGAATTTTGCAAGTGATTTGTGCCAAAGGAAGTGCTAGCGAAACAGAGATCATAATTATTCCCAATGATTCTTTGATTACATTCCTTTGGATAACATAAAAGGTGAAGCGACTTTTGGGCTGTGGAAGACGGACACTGCTTGAGAATTGCCTTCCCAAAAAAGAGAGAGACAGCTGATCGATAGATGTAAGATGAATTATGCGATGCTTGGATTGCAGGGAAATCCCTGCAGCCGAGTTGCGACTCCTTAAATCATGACTCCTGCTCCCTGGTGGCTCATTCCCGGATTCAATAACACCGACAATCGCAGCAGCTTGATGCGCATCTAACGGCCAAAAGAAATGCAATAAAATGAGAAGTCCCCAAGGCGCCAATTGCGTGATAGAATGAGAGAGAGAGAGGATTGATGTGTGTGTGTGTGTGTGACAGAGAATACCACAATGATGTACCCAAGATACAACCTACAAAAAAACAATAGAAAAGAAAAGAAAATAAAAGAGAGCAATAAAAAATAAAGATTTTGACTTTTACGTATGCGTAACGTCTCTGTCTCTGTCTCTCTCTCTTTCTCTTTCTCTTTCTCTCTTTCTCTTTCTCTCTTTTATTGTTCCCCTTGCGATTCTTTTTTTGCTCTTCTTTCATGTGTTTGTGTGTGTGTGCACTGCTTGGCGCAATATTAAAAATCCGAACACAAATATGCAGCGACATTTTTTCTGCACAATGTCTTCTTCCGCTTCGAACCGTACTTCCAGCCACTACTCCCATCCTCCCCCTCTGGCTCCATGCCTTCCTATAGCTGCAGCGCTGTCGCTGCGTTTTTGCACAGCCAAGCAGTCGAAACCATATTGATACCCTTTTAGCTTCAAGTTTAGAAATTTTAGTACACACTTCGTGCAGAATTGTAATTAATTTTTATAATTTTGTAAACGCTCATGAGCGAAAAACCAACGAAAATAACCCAAAACAAATGGTAGAGGTACAGGGTATTTCTCTGTCGAGACTCCATTCGATTGATGCCAGTTTTTGGCTGGTGCTTTCTTTTTTTTGTGTGCGCCTCTCCGACATCTTTTGTTAGCATAATTTTCGGGGCGCAGGCAACGGCGACGTTTTCTATGCACCACACACGCACATCTGTGTGTGTCTCTGTCAGTGTGTTTGTGTGTTTGTGTGTTTGTGCGATTGTTGTTTGTGTATGTGTGTGTTTGCCAGGCAAACAAATACCCCGCATGGCGTACGTACTTTTTTGCCGAAACTTTTCTGGCAACAATTGGGCGAAACGCAAATCGAACGCAGGTTGTGCCCCCTCCGCTCCGTTTATTCCGTATTCCGGATACCATATTCCCCCGTACAAGCGCACACACACACACACACACACACATACGCACGCATACAAATGCAAACAAACACAAACATTCGTTCAATATATAAAACCAATTACATTCGTAAAAACAAAAGTAGGGGGAAAAATAGTAGAAGGAAACGCTGAAGAAGTGGACGGCATGAAACAGCAGGCAGAGGAGTGTAGGAGCGCAATGGCAGGAGGCAGAGGAGAGTAGCAGGCAGAAGGCGGAAGGCATGAGGCTGATGTTGATGATGACGACGACTGTCAAAAAATTGAAATTCGCAAAGGGAGGGGGAAACAGGCAGGGAAGGATATTTTGATGGAACCATCGGCAGAGAGAGTGAGAGAGAGAGAGAGAGAGGGAGAGAGGAAGGAAGGAAGTAGCGTGCGTTGACTTTACGGTTATTCCATGGATTGCAATCCATTCGCAATATGTACACAGCCTCCTACAGCCTTCCCCCAGCCACCATCTGCCTGCTGCTTTTTCCCCTATTAAGTCAGAAAGTTCTTTCAAAAATTTCTTATTCATCTGAAGGCCGAATCCTTCTGTCGTTTTCATACCCTCGATGCAAAACTCTGGCAGCGAATCTCTATCAAGTGGCTCCCAAAGCAAAAGCAACCGATATGACGCGGCTCTCAAATCGAAACGATCATTCTGTCGGTGTTGTTATACCCAATGGGAGATCTATTCAGCCAGATGATAGCTGCTGCAAGTTGCGCGCTTTCTGTTCTCATTCCATCTTGAATTCGTGCTGTTTGGGGATAGCTTTATCATCTACAAAATGCTGTAGCTCCATGGGTATCGTCCATTTCAATGCTACGCCATTCCCTTCTTCTACCACTTCTTGTTGCTGCCACTGCCACTGCCACTGCGACTGTTGCTGTGTATATTTACTATCGTTGCGTTCGTTTCCGTTTCCGTTTCAGTTCTCGTTTCTTGCTTTGCCCACTCTCATAATAATCATAATAATAACTGCTCTCTCCTTCTCCTGCCTTTCCACTCTTTCTCTATGCATATTTAGTTTCGGGGGGAGCCCCATGGAAACTTTTTTAATTAATTAGTACGTGAGCTGCTCAATGGGCAGGCAGCAGGCAGCAGCAAAAGCAGCAAAAGCAGCAGCAACAGCGGCTTCAGAGAGTCATTCGTTCCATGTTCCATGTTCGTTTCTGCCATAATTTGTTGGCTTTATGCGATTTACTGTACGCAAATTCGTGCACAAATCGCATGGAAATGAAAGGCAAAGGCGTGAAAAGTTTCCACATGGCCAACACTCGTCGTAAAGATTCGGTAGGGGCGGAATGGCATGAAATCCACCAGTTCTATAAAGCCATCAAACAATTTAACTGGCAGAATCCGTTATGAAATGCCTTTCCGACATGCTTATAAAACTTTCAGTGGCGAAAACTCCTCAAAGAACTTGAACCCCATCGAAAGCTGTCCTTTGATTGTTGGATCGACTCGAAGCGATTGTCGTTCAGCAAAATAGAAACGGTTATTAAACGTGAAATCAAAAGAAAGAAACCGAATTTTAAACTGAAAAAAATCATCCAATTACTTGCATCATCCTTGCAAACGCCGCTGCTGCTTGCCACACACACACAAAAAGTTGAGCGAAAAGCCACGAGCTCCCGAGTGACGGTGACCTCATGCTTGTGGCACTCGCACACACCTACAGCACACACAACACACAATAAAAGGCAAAGGAATTTTCCCATTTAGCTGGCAAATTTGGTGGAAAATGCGAGAAAATATATTTTTAAATTCGTATCGTATGGCGAAAACGGGAAACGGGAAAATCTGGAAATGGGGATGGGGATGAGGATGAGGAAATGGCAAAAATGCGTAACACATTTGTGTGCTGTGTGGAAAAAGGCATGCAAATTGTGAAGAAAATAAGTGGAAAGAGCAAAACTAACACGCAGCCATACATACATACATAGCCTCAGAGCCACACAACAATCGTTATAATCATTGTGCATAAAAATAATAATTATATTACCCTGCTCTTCCCCACCACCCAACCGCTGCGAAAGCATATACTTATACTCGTATACTCGTACTCTTCTACCATTTAAAATGCATATTGTTCTGTTACTAATACTCGTGCTCCTCTGTACTGTTTAATGTAAAGATGCCCTTTTTTGGGCATTTTACACAGAGCAAAACAAAAACTCATTCGTTTCCAACACCATCCCACCTATCCACAGAACGGGACGAAACCAGCCACCCATGTACACGGAGACGCTGCCCGGCGAGAGCCTTGCCTTGATGATTTCCTCCCTGACGGTGGAGATGGGCGGCAAGTACTACTGCACTGCGTCCTATGCAAATACCGAAATTCTCGAGACGAGCGTCACAATTACAACTTATGGTGAGTCCTTCCTCCTTCCTCCTTCCTCCTCCCTTTCTTTCCTTTTTTCCTTCCTTCCACGCGGCAAACTCTCAGTGAAGGCAAACGATAATGATGATTCGCGTTCGCATTCTCATTATCATTATCGTTATCGTTATCGTTAACATTACTATGAGTGTTATTATCATTTGTGTTCGTTGTTTCTGTTGTTGCTTCTTTGGATGGTAAGTATTTGGAATGGTGTACAGCACTGTAGTGCTTTAGTGCATTACTGTACTTAAGTCAAATGTTATTTGGAAATTTCAATCAAAGAGAGGCCAGAAGTTGCTTCAGGAGAAGAACAAAAGTGGGAGAACGAGATGATTTATTTCTCTGCCCAACACTGATCGCGGCTATGAAGCGAGACTGTACCAAGAAGTGTGCTTTGCATTTTGCAACACTGGTTCAAGAGTTTGAGGAATATTTTGTCATTAGTTTTCTGCTAGCTGTTGTCATGCTTGACTTGTCACCATTTTGATTGGCATAGCCGCCTTCAGACTGGAACTGAGAGTAATCGCCGTTCAACGTGATTCCTGCTCCGTGCCTGCCACACGATTCATTTATCTTGTTAGCAATTTGTGTCCCCGGCACACGGTTCGAGCTAACAGTTTGAAGTACAGCCTGCAGTCTAGTGCAGTGCAAGTGCAGCATTGCCCGGGTAGTAAGAAATTACAGTTTCTCTGGGATTTCATTGCAGGAGAGAGAGGAGGCGACAGTTCAGCGGACACATGTATAAAACAGCAGCGAGCAGAGAGCACTCACACACACACACACACACACATGTGACAAGGAGGCAACAACACGTTCCCCAATAAGCAGGACACGACACGCACACACCTTCTGCCAGAGGGATCCCCTTCCCTCTCCCCCTTATTTGGAAAAAAGGAATGGATAGTCGAGTGCACATAAGCGGCGGCACTGCCGTACTCTACTCTACGGTGCGCGCTTCAGCTCGAAAAACTTTTACGAGATTGATTTTTCTAAGCAATTTAAAGTTCGTTCTCATTGCACACGGAGAGGCACAAACCACGACTCTCTGCTCCTGTGGAAGCACTTTGTCTGTTCGTGATATGTGAGGAACTGCCTCCTCGTCCTGGCAAACATCTCATTGAGGGGCCAGTGGGCCAATGCCAGGTTGTTGCTGTGCAACAATTTGTGCCTGATATGGGCACTCCTTTCCTGGCATCATCCTCCTCTCCTTACACACTCTCCAATCGAGTCCCTCCCCACCCCACTCTCCAGTTCGGCCCTTTGTTTGTCCACTGGTTGAATGACGGGGTAGATCTGTGGCTACCATTGACACCAGTGTTGACAAACGCCAGGGCGCACTTTACGTGATAGAATCCCCAGGGCCAAAGCTACGATCGGCCTTGCAGGTATGGTTGGTTTAGAACTTTGTAGAACTAAAAAATTTAATACTTTTCTGTTGGAAAATTATAACTATAGAAGGAAGCAGACAAGAACAAACCGTGTTAAAGTCCCATTACCATGACTAAAGCCCTAAGCAATGAGTAGTGGGATATTTTTGCATGCATTTAAAGTTGTTTAGATTTGTTGGTCAAGTCTAGTGTTGTGCGTGTGATTCCTTGATTTTCAAGGGTTTCGGCTCGTCTTCCGTTCACATTTTAAAGAGCTGCAGCTCTTCCAAATGGAATATTACATGTTAAGCCTGTGGTAAGCCCCAGCCATTAACCGCTTCTCTGTCCCTTGTCCTCTGGTCCTAGTTCTTCCCTGCAACGTGCAACCGACTCGACCAGCTTTCAAATACAAAACCCAACAGCAGTTGGTTATCAACACCAGATACTAAGAGTACATGAAGAGGCATCTGAATCTGAATCAGAATCAGAATCAGAATCAGAGGGAGCCCCAAAACCACTGCCGCAGTGCCTCACTGCCGCACTGCCATTGTGTTGACAACTCAGAAGTTGCATTTAGTTAAGCAAATAAGCAGCCAGGGACACGACACGAAGATATACTACTCGCATTCCTCCCCGTACATACGTACATAGGTGGCCGAATGGAAGGAAGGCTGAAGGCAAATTGCAAGATTTACTTTTGCCATGAAAAGCCAACATGCACGAGAGCCTGGGGCTTTCACAGGGACGGGGATAGGGACATACACAGTGGCATATTTACATATCGTTGTTTGTGGCACTGCACAGTCACAGCTTAATATTTCAATATTTATGCTTTTCATAAATGCATATTCCTCGAAGCACACAGAACTTCCGCCAGAAGGAGAAGCACACACAACAAACAGTAGAAGCGCCATCGAGTGGATTGCATTCTGGCAGACACTTGACTAGAATTACATTTGTGAAGGCATTTAAAGCGCATTAGACGTGTGCAGACAATGCATTAATTAAATATTTATACACTTCCATCGATGCTCGGAACCGATAATTGCTGGCATTCTCGGTCAATCTAATTGACACTAATCGTCTTGATTGCAGATATTAAGAACACAGTTTGTATTCTCTACGACTTGTCAAAAGATGCCTCACTGCACAATTGACTGGCACAATGTGCTCCATCTGTTCGCCACGTTCTCCACATTCTTGCGTCTCAATTATTTGTCGACTCTAGAGTGTCTTTCCTTACTATTGGCTTTATTCAGGAATTGTTGAACAGTTTTTGGCTCTATTGCATTGCAATTTGTTTCCGTGATTAATTTGATCTAAAGAGCATGTTTGTAATCATGATTGAAGACTCTCTCTCTCTCTCTCTCTCTCTCTCTCGTCCGACAATTGGGTAAAGAGATTGACAGCTATGTACATGGATGGAGGCCTTAGTTCTGCTGTCATCTGTCATCTTTAAGGGCCACAAATTTAAACAGCCACCCACCAAAAACTCTGTTGCTCTGTTGCAATTGTGTGTTCCGTGCTTATCTTTCTCTGTAGCATTTTGTTGTAATAAGTTGCTGCTGCTGCAACTTTTTCAATAAGTTGTGATGTCTGGATGTTTGACCATGGCCGCGGCATCTTTACTCATCCTGCCACCTGGAACCCAGCTCTGGCTCTGGCTCTACCTCTTTGGTCTGCTGCTTTTGCTAGTGTCCTTGTTCAAACTAATAATGAAATCGTAAACTAGTTCATCTTTTTTCCTACTCCTGGCGGGCATACGTGTGTGTGTGTGAGTGTGAGGGTGTAGATGAATGTGAGAAACGCCAGAGCCAGCGAAAAGTGTTTGAACAACAAAATCTCACACGCTACGACAATGCGCCAGGCAGGCAGGCAGGCAGGCAGAAAAAGGAGAGAACTTGCAAAGAACAGAACGAGAAGGAGAGAAGTGATGTGACAGCAGCAGCAACTTTAAGTTACTCTTTTTCGAAAGAGAGTATAGCGAATGCAACAAGAGAAATGCCATGCAGTTGCCATGGAAGTTATACTTGAGATCGAATGCCAAGATAAGACACCTTTGCAGTTTTGCCAGCTGCTCTCGCCCATGAAGCAACTATAGTTGCTTCATGCACACGCCCTCTCACTATTCTGCCTCTCTCTCTCTCTCTCTCTCTCGTTCAGCCGTAAAGCGGAATTGCAGATCGTGTCGCCGTATTATAACGGTGTTTTGCATTAGATCTGTTAGGGTATTTACAGTATCAACTGTCCCATCGTTTGCTCATTCTTTCTGGTTATTTATTTTACGAGTACGAGTCGATGCTCCTGTTGCTGTTTCTGTTGTTGTTGCTGCCGCTGCTGCTGCTTCCCTCTGTAAGCAGTTGTCTGGCACAAGGATGGCATGAGGGATAAGGAGCTGCACAGGACATACAATATGTGTGTAAGCCCAGACACTGCCAATAAAAAATTGCAAATAGAAAATGTTTTTAACACAACTTTCCGTTATTTTGGCTTCTGCTTTGGCTTTCTCGCTCCCCCTCTCTGTCCAAATCGAATGCCGGACATCTCTGGGTGCATGTCCGTGCATGTCTCTGTGCATGTTTGAGCTTGACAGTCAGCAGACAGAGAGTGTGCCCGAGCGAGGAACATACAGAAAGACAGACAGGCCAAAGCAGAGAAGAGCAGAGCAGAGCTGAGCGATTGAGATGGCTTGTTATTACACTGATTTATAAATAAACTGTAAATATTTGGGGGCCATACACATGTTGGAGAATCGACAGCAGACACAGCAGAGAACGAAGAAGGATTTCCACAATTTCCGCTTGGAATGCAAAATGCTATTCCAAATGCAATGGCCATCTATTTGGAGTGACCTTTCCTGGCACTTTTTTATTTAGCCCTGGATTGAGCCTGGCCGTTGAGCACAATTGTGCCTGTGAATCAAAGCTGTACTTTGAATTTTGTATTGCTTTGCCTTTGAGGTTGAGCCGCCAGAGTCGGCCCCGCCCCCGCTTGTGATTATGTTTTTTCTCCGCATTAAACTAAACAAACAACTGATGGTCCCAGAAAAATCTTCCGCTTCACGCCTCGATTCTGACTCCGACTCAGACTCCGACTCCCTCTGCCTCTCTGCTGTCTTGGCATCTACTACTACTATTTGTGTTTGTGCTTTGAATTGTATGGCAAGTATTTGATTTAGGAATTCCAGCTTTTTGCAATTTCTTCTTTTTATTTTTGCTCGTTTTTCCCCCCCATTTTCAATTTCCAAGTCATCCCTCTGCTCCTGCTCCTGCTCCTGCTGCTGCTGCAGTGGAGATTTATTGGCAGGAGCCCAGGAATCACAAACCCGATGCCAAGTCTGAGTCCAAGTACAAGTCCAAGTCTTTGTCGACAATCCGAATGCTCGTTAGGGTCGAGACTGAGACTGACCCTTAGAGCAAGCAGTGGCTATGGCAAGCAGTGGAACGGGCCGGGCCGGGCCGGGCGCATGTTGTCTGCTGCTTGCTGCTTGCTACTTGAGGATTTGTCGCGCACACGTCTTGGCTTTGGATTGCTTTTATGTGCCTGACAGTTTGTTTAAAATTATATTACATATACGCCACGTACAGGCTCCACCTACTCCTTCACACCCTCCGCTTGGATTATCGCCCAGGGGGCTGCCTTGCACTTTTCATACCTTTTAATCGTGAGGGATGCCAAGCGTCTCTCTGAGTGTTGGCTTAAGCTTTACAACTGCAATATTCAATACGTTTTCTTGTGAATAATTGGAAGGTATTTGCTAGTCCTCTACTGTCTCTCGGCCGTATGTGGCGTGTGTGTGCTCACTGGCTGTGTAAATGCCAGGGAAAATCAAACAATTTTCGCACACCTTTTCCACAGGAATTTGTACGTGAACGCCTCATTGTTTCAGCTGCTTTTGTTTCTAAGTCTAACAAGAGTTTCCCCCACATTTGTTCCTCTTTGTAGTGGCCATTACCTGGACAAATGCTCCAGAAAATCAATATCCGACCCTGGGCCAAGATTACGTGGTCATGTGCGAGGTAAAGGCCGATCCCAATCCCACCATTGACTGGCTTCGCAACGGAGATCCGGTAAGTAATTGATGTTTCCTTGCCTCACCTGGCCATCATAACTAATCCTTGGATTCTCTGTTGTAGATCCGCACTGGCGATAAGTATGTTGTGCAGACCCATGGCCTGCTCATCCATGATGTTCAGGAGACGGACGAGGGCATCTACACGTGCCGTGCGGCTGTCATTGATACGGGAGAGCTGCTGGAGCGCACCATTCGCGTGGAGGTATTCATCCAGCCGGTGATTGTCAGTCTGCCGGCAACGATGGAGGCCATCGAGGGCAAACCCTTTGCGGCCAACTGCACGGCCACCGGTAAGCCAGTGCCGGAGATCAGCTGGATCCGGGATGCCACACAGCTGAATGTGGCCACCGCCGAACGCTTCCAGGTGAATCCACAGACGGGTCTGGTCACAATCAACTCAGTGCGGGAGGACGACTACGGCACCTATACCTGTCTGGCCAAGAACAAGGCTGGCGTTGTGGATCAGAAGACCAAGCTGAATGTCCTGGTACGCCCTGCCATCTACGAGCTGTACAATGTGACTGGCAGCAGGACCAAGGAGATTGCCATCACCTGTCGGGCCAAGGGACGTCCCGCACCGGCCATCACCTTCCGCCGCTGGGGCACCCAGGAAGAGTACTCACCAGGCGTCCAGGTCGACGATGTGCGAATTGTTTTGGAGCGCTACTTTGACGAGGATCGCGGCGAGAGCTCTGGCACCCTGCGCATCGCCAACGCTGAGAGAACCGACGACGGCCTGTACCAGTGCATTGCGAAGAACAAGGGCGCCGAAGCCTTCAAGACGGGACACATCACGGTGGAGTTTGGGCCGGACTTTAGCCAGATGAAGGAGCTGCCGCCGGTGTTCACATGGGACCAGCGCAAGGCCAATCTCAGCTGCCTGGCCATGGGCATACCGAACGCCACCATTGAGTGGCACTGGAACGGGCGCAAGATCAAGGAGCTGTACGACACAAATCTCAAGATCGTCGGCGCCGGTCCCCGCAGCGACCTCATCGTCCACCCTGTGACCCGTCAGTACTACTCCGCCTACAAGTGCATTGCCACCAATATCCATGGCACCGCCGAGCACGACATGCAGCTGAAGGAGGCCCGCGTCCCGGAGTTCGTGTCGGCGGCAGTGCCGCGCCAGCTGACGGCCACCACCATAACATTTGACATACGCGGCCCACCCACCGAACTGGGACTGCCCATCCTGGCCTTTAGTGTGCAGTACAAGGAGGCCCTTAATCCCGACTGGTCCACGGCGTACAACCGCAGCTGGTCGCCCGATTCCCCGTACATTGTCGAGGGTCTGCGCCCCCAGACCGAGTACAGCTTCCGTTTTGCGGCCAGGAACCAGGTGGGTCTCGGCAACTGGGGCGTCAACCAGAAGCAGTCCACGCCGCGCCGCTCCGCACCCGAGGAACCCAAGCCCCTGCACAATCCTGTCCAGCATGACAAGGAGGAGCCCGTGGTCGTGTCGCCCTACTCGGATCACTTTGAACTGCGCTGGGGAGTGCCCGCCGACAATGGGGAGCCCATCGATCGCTACCAGATCAAGTATTGTCCGGTAAGAACATAAACATTTGGCGCTCTCTGCATGAGATCATCCGAAAACAGATCATTGATCATCATTGGTTTTTGCAGGGCATGAAGATCAGTGGCTCTTGGACCGAGCTAGAGGACAGATGCAATACGGTGGATGTGGTCGAGACCACATCGTATGAGATGACCGACCTCAATGGGAACACGTACTACCGCATCGAGCTGAAGGCGCATAATGCCATCGGTTACTCGTCGCCGGCATCGATCATCATGAAGACGACACGAGGTGAGTCCGATTCCGCTAACAATAATCTCGGCACGTTGCTCTATTCGGCCGGGCTCAACTCCGGCGTCGGGTCGCTACACAAACAACTGTTCACGACCACCACAAGAGCCTCCACATCGACAATCACGACAACCATCACCACCACAATCATTGCGCTGGCCACCACCATAAGCGTAACATTAGTTAGTGTCCTAGCCTCAATGTTAGTCTAAAAAGCCCAAAAACAAAAGCTCAAGTCATCGAAAGCGGAATGCATAATCTCTCTGCAATCGATCGATCGATACACGATAGACACGCGCAACACTCACACTGGGCGGGGGACACACAGTGGGCCACACAAGTGTACTAAATATACAGTGTTTGGCCCAATGTTTGAACCCCTGAAGCAGGCATCCATATCGATTGAGAACCGCCCTCTCAAATGATCTACAAGATCCCAGAAAACAAAACAAAACAAAAAACAAAGAGAAAAATAAACATACATATATACAATCGATAGATATCGAACACACGAACACACACCCACACACACACACACACTCGATTTTTACTGCTCTAAATATATGCTATATATGAAATATATATGATATACCCCCAGATATAACTACTATCAACTATCGTTTATCGTTTATCGACTACTTTTGCATACATCGATTTCTGTAGTGTTTATTTCAACTTGCGTTTCATCATCATCTCAATTCAGATTCAGTGTGAATCCAATGTCTCTCGTCTCTTCGTCTGTCATTTATCGTTTATCATTATTATTCGCCCTCTCTATACATCTCTCTTCTTTGCTCTTTTGTTGTCGAAACATCGTTTTTGTTTTGCATGCGCCTTTCGTTTCGTTTCGTTTCGTTTCGTTAGAGCATCCACAAAGAGCATACTCTATACTCTCCTCGGTATATTCTTCCATAACCAGTAGGCCGTAATTGTATACATTCCACCCACACCCACGCCCACACACTGAAACACTGAGTACTGCAACGCAGTTGATAAACATTATGGAAAAAGCCAAATCAAATATCAAGCCCTCCCCCCATCATAGAAATGGCCCCCTGAAAGCCCCCACCCATTCATGTCTCATATGGCGCGTGCGTGCGCGCATCAGTAAAAATGTCTGAAGTTGTATAGAAATAAAGAATTAGAGATGCGCGCAGGCCCGAAATCAACACTAAATACCTTAATATTATTATGTTCTCTATACTTTTTTTTTAATAAAATTCTTAAGCATTTACTTAATTATAATTACCAAGCGAAACAAAAAGAAAAGGAAAACACACTAATACTTTCTATAACAGAGAATTTGAAAGTGAAGAATCAATTTATAATTTTATATTTTTGTGTGTTGTAATATTTTGTTTGAATAATGTGTGACCCCCACGAATATACATACATACATACCCTGTTAAATGTAAACCATCTATCTAGCTCGTAAACACAACAAGAAATGAAACAAATGCAAAAAGCGCAATTAAATTAGAAATCAACAAAAAAGCCTTTAATTTGTTTCTTTCCATTATGTTTTGTTTTGATTTCGTATCCACTAGAATCACCATTTTTACTTTTATTTTAAATTAATTTTATCATTTGATTGGAATTTGAATTGATTTTGTGTATACTACTACTGCTGCGTCTACTATTTCTATATTTCTTTAGTTAATTTTTCAATTATAAGCGACAAAAGAAAAGTTTCTCAAATAAAACAAAGAAAAACCAACAAACAAACTGTAATTTACTGCCAATGCCACATTTCGTTCGTTTTCTCTTTTATTATCGTATCGTATCGTATCGTTATCGTTATGTGTATCGTCTCTCGTATCGTATCTTATCGAAACACATGCCTGCGTTGTCTTTCTATTTGTTTCACTTTCAATCGCTCGCTCGCTCTCTATTGCTATCGCTGTGACTGTCTTGCTGTCTCCTTCTTCATCATCGTTTACTTAGCATATATAATTATTATCTGTTGGTTTGTCACTAGTTTGTATCTTTGTGTTTTGTGTGTGTTTTTGTCGCTATCCCTATATCCTTTATCCCCGCTATATCCCACATATAATTGATCCCTCCCACTATGATCTTATACTCAATACTCAATCAAATTTGTGTCTGCATTTAAGTAACAACTTAGTCATAGTTAATATTATTAACCGAACAACCACTAACACATGTCAAGAACCAAACGTCCCAACCCTCCGGCCAGACAAACAAACAACCAACCAAACAGCCAGAAAAAGCACACACATGAAACACTCGCATACCAAACTAGCAAACAACAAGAACAAATAACTAATCCTCCATAGTAGAAGACTCAAGTCGGGAGTGTTCTGGCAACCTCGAGCCTCTAACCCAACCGAAAGCTCTAACACGCAATGCAATTGTTGGTGTTCCTGAAATCTCTCTGCCATCTAAACTGGAAAATGGAACCCTACTACTGGAATTCCTAGGCAAACGTTGCAATAAAAGTGAATCCTTTAAAGCTTCTTTAATTCGAAAATGCATCATGGAGCGTCGACAAATTGTTCCGATAAGTTCGGAATTTCACGGAACCGCAGAATGAAACCACCTGTGGACCAGGCCTTAACTTTAATGTAGAACTCAATGGGATATTTAATTGGAGTCAACGAGATTTCAGGAGCATCAACAACAGCCACAAGCACTGGTCCGGGTCACTAGAGATTTCTGGAACACATCGGATTAACCCACACACCCACCACCACACATTCGTCGTCGTCGTCGCCCCAATAACCCAACAAAAAAAGAAACTAAAACAAGAAACTAAAACAATGCCTAAAAAATAACTCCGAAAATGTAATGTGCAAAAAGAAAATTCCAACCAACAACAAAAATGTTCTTTTTGTGTGTTTCCTTTTCTTCCTTTTTTTCTTCTACCACTTTTTCTTCTTTGTTTTTTCTCTCTTATATGCTGTGTGGGTGCTAAAAACCCACAAAACTACAACAAATAAAATCGAACGCAAAACAAAACCTGTAAAATGAAACGAAAAACCTCGAAAAACTGAACAAAACCGAACCGAACCGAAAATCCCCACGCCAAAACCTCGAAAACTCTCATCCAGACAATCCACATCCCCGCCCGTCAAAAGGCGGACAAGCTGCTGCTGCTGCTGCTCCGCCGCTGGTTCTACTGCTCTCCACTGCTTTCGCGCTGTTGCTACTGCTCCCGACGACGACTGCTTAAGCGAACAGCCACCAATCAGCAAGCTGTGCACGGAGGAATCTTCAACAGAAAGACAGACCACTTTTTCTCTGTCTTTCTTTCATTATTTGTCGTCGTCTCCATTGTGTAAATAATAAACCGAAGAAAAGAAAAGGAAAACAGTTTATCAACCACGAAAAAAAATATTAAAATAGCATGAAAAGGCGGAAATAAATACATAATATACATACATACTATGTGTTGAATGTGCTCAAGTAGAAAATATGTATGATCAATATGAAGACAAATATCACTAATGGTGGGGTCACCAAGAGTCACCATTCCATTAACTGTACAAAAAGAAAGCAAAAGAAATGAAATAATTAAAAAATAGTCAATGAAACGGAATGCCAAAACCTAATCATATGCATACATAATAATGATTAACGTTAATGATAATGATGATATATGTATGTACTTATTGTATGTATCCTACCATAACCGATGTCTTGTTTTAACCACTAAGCCACTGTTGATTTGTTGTTATTTAGTTAGTATGTACCACAGATATAAAACATACCTGTATGTACGAGTATATTTATGTATTGTCCACAATTCTTCCGAATACGATTACGATTACTATTCCCAGAAACCCGTTCCGCTTAGTTCCATGTGCATTCTACAACACTGCCAAGCGTACGAATCTACATAAATTAAACAAAATTTTAGTGAAATTCTACAACCAAAAACAAAAAACAACAAAAATGAATAATCATATATCAAATGCATACGAGTACAATTTATTGAAGAATAAATTACATTTAGCCAAAAGCTTTTCCGCTTCGACGCAGATGTCATCAAGCAGTTTCTGTTCTGTTTGTTTTTTGAGCGTATACGTTATCCGTTAAGAGGGGGACAATAAGTAACTAAGTTAAAGCAGCGTTTAAGCAGTGCACACTGCTCGGACTCGGGCTTGGGCTCCACTACGAATTTTTATCACATGGTGTAATTGAATTATGAAAACAAAACGTAAGAAGAAAGAGTCTCCGTTAATCATGAAAATGGATAATCCATAATACGAGCATATTAGTACTTAAATAATAATGAAAAACACAACTAGAATGCATTTCAATTTAGAAGAACATTCCTGTATTCCTGTATACAAACAAGACATTTTTTTTAGCAAGCGAAATGGATTTTTTTCTAGCCAAATATATCGGAAAACAAACAAAAACGAAATACAATTTATACCTTTACAATATCTAGTTATATATACTATATACATACAATATACACGTATAGCTAGAGAATAAATCAGCCCGCCTAACGTTGCTGAGAAGATGAGTGTTTTTTTTTTGTTTTTTTTTGTTCTAAGCGAGCTGCAAGCAGTACCAGCAGTACGGGGAGAAAAGCAGTGCTTTTAGCACAGACAGTGACACACACTCCCCCGCACATACTCCGTATAGGACATCTTGAATGTTGTAAGCAGTGTAATAAGAAACGATACCTAACAATTAAGCAGTTCATTTTTGGGTAAATAAAGAAATACTTAAAAAGCATGCAGTGTGTGACTATGACTTGGAAAGGGGAACCGCACCGCCACCCCACCGCTTGGAAGGCCCCTCCCAACGCTTGGAAGGTAAAATGCTGCAGTAATAGCATACCAGCCATATGTACGGGTATCATCATGGTACCATTTATATATATACACTATACTATATAGCATCATATTACTCCTTCTATCGATGCACACGAAATTAACCCAACAAAAACAACCGAAATTTGTTGATAATTGTTAATTATTATTAAATTGTATATTTTAGTTTCGAAAGCGACAAATCCTGTAACCGTGCCAGCACTCTCGAACAACCACCAAATCAATCAAGCTTATCATTTTCTGTATAGAAATATTCGTGTTATACCATCAATGAAATACTGCTTACAAAATATGCTTTATACACCAACAAAATGTTGTTCCTCCTTGTACACCCACACCCACACCCACACCCACACCATACATACACACAAAAGCATAGTACGTACACACCCAATTATATACAGATACATTTATTACGTATGTAAGCGAAAATGATTTGTAAACCCTAATTTCGAACTGCTTTACACTGCTTGTATACTTTGCATATTGGCATTTTTCTGTATTTTGCAATTGTACAAATGAAAAAAAAAAAAAAACGAAACAAAATAAAAATCACTGAAAATTCGTTTGAAATTTGTTAATTTTTGTGCTTCTCTCACTCTTTCACTTACGCTATCTCTCTATCCTTCTTCTATCTCTGTTTTTTCCCTCTTCTTCTGTGCTGAGTCCCTCCTGAGTCCCTGACCAACCTCCAACACTCCCCCTTTCGAAGGCTGCATGCAAAAAGAAGGCCTTGATGAAAATTCGTACCCATAAGTTTGTTGCTTCGTTTGAAACTGCTTTTCATGTCATGTCAATTGGTGCTAATATTTGAATTTTCCTTATGATTTTCGTATGGTTGTTAATCCCCCTTGGTTCAATTGCGATTATGTTTATTATTTCGATATTGATTTTCATTTGAAAATTTCGACTAATTCCGTTCTTTTTGTTTACCAACAAGTAATATACACACACACAAAAATGTAAAATACCATTAACCAAAAACCAAAAACCAGAACAAGAAGGTGAAAAAATAAACCAAAACAAAACAAAGCCAAAAATAATATAAGACGGGAACATAATACATACATACATAAATATGTGTAAGACTAGATGCTAATGGAGGTTCTGTCTATTCGTTGTATAGGATAGTTTCCAAGGTGCCAGGGTGCACTGTACTTTACCGCCTACTTAGCTTATAGAATATTGAATAGTACGACTTACATACCTACATATATATTTGAATGACAATTTACTAATCAAGTACAATTATTCCCTCCACCTCCACCTCCACCTACACCTACCGCATCCTGCATCTCTGTGCACCTTCCACACACTGCAACTGCAACTGCAACACCCAAACAGGTATCGATGTGATCCAAGTGGCCGAACGGCAGGTGCTCTCCTCCGCAGCCATCGTGGGCATCGCTGTGGGCGGTGTCCTGCTGCTGCTCTTCATCGTGGACCTACTCTGCTGCATTACCGTGCACATGGGCGTGATGGCGGCCATGTGCCGCAAGGCCAAGCGGTCGCCCTCGGAGATCGATGACGAGGCCAAGCTGGGAAGGTAAGCAATCGCTGAGGCGCAAGATCTACGAGAACCCATAACTTTTGTGGTACTACTTTTGTTTGGACCTCGAGAATATCCTCCCACAAACGAAACGAATATTGCACTAAAAATCGAAAACCGAAATCGAAAATCGAATTAAAATCTATCTCTTGTGTTTTTTCGTTGTGTTTCTTGTATCTTATACGTTGCGAACTAAAGCCGAAATTGCAAACGACCGGACTTCGAGTACAATTGGGTCTATGCGCGTCCCAAATCCTTGTTGTTCAATCGCAATTCGCTGATATCCGTCTGAGAGCGCGGCACCACACACAAAAATGCACCGAATTCAAAATTCAAAATTTAAAATTCAAATAAAAAATGCAATGATTCACTCCCAACTTACGTTTGTCATCCAGTTTTTTAGTGCAATATACAAAAGTTTTCAGTTTGCCACACAATCGAACTCACACAAACTCACTCGAAACTCAGCCACTAGCAGACGACCATTCATCCACTCACTCACTCACTTAGTTCACATTAGAACATTCATTCACACAGAAGACAAAGAAAAACACTCAACTTGTCTGTGACAAGTGATTCAATGTCCTTAGTTGTTTGGCTAATTGTAGTACAAGACATGTGAGGGATTTGATGTCCAACCTCTTGTTGGACAGTCTGCTGCTTTAGCGCCAGCGCCACAGACACATACACATACACACCACACACACATGACACAAGCATCATCGTTATCATTTCATTTACGATCATCTACTATTTGTATGTGTACTCTCTCTTCTTCTACTAAATCAACATCATCATGTATTATTCCAATCAATTCATCCAACACACAAAAATCCGACTAAATCCAACCAATCCAAAAACCAACCAAAACCTACAACCAACCAAAATACCGAAACCAAAATACCGAAACCAAATACCAACCAAATTACCATCTAACCAAGCAGTCTTTACGGTTGGCGTTTTCCGCTACCTTATTGCAGTGGACAGCTGGTTAAGGAGCCGCCACCGTCACCGTTGCCACTGCCGCCGCCAGTAAAGCTGGGCGGCTCGCCCATGACATCGCCATTGTACGTACCACCTCCTCCATAGATCTATGCATCCTACCACTGAATCTTCTCCTGATCTTTCTTTTGAGTTGAGTTCTTCATGCCTGCCTATCAGCCTCTACCCATCCACCTATCTAACAAGCACATCAATCTACTCATCTTCGCTCATTAGCACTGCATGCGCCACCCTCTAGTTAATATAGACATACCTACATTAGGTACATACTTTGTAGCCCTGTAGCTTTGTAGATCTAGTAGAAGGTAAGTGCTTTGCTTGCCTAGGAACAATCACACACCTTTTAACGAGTAGTAGCTATCAGCTGTGATTGCATGGCGGATCAGATCGTACAAGCATTAAGACTAATCAAACAATACTCTCTTCTTGTATAGGGACGAGAAGGAACCGCTGCGCACACCCACCGGCAGCATCAAGCAGAACTCCACCATCGAGTTCGATGGCCGCTTTGTGCACTCCCGCAGCGGGGAGATCATTGGCAAGAACTCGGCGGTGTAAGTGGGCCCAGGAGAGGAGAGGAGAGAGCCCACGAACGCCTCGCAGCGTGCACAAACCATACAGGAGGATGAATGTCGCCTAGAGAATGTATTCTAGAACGAGAACAAGCCAAAGCCACAGCTGGGGGACAACAACACATGGGAGCATCGATACAATATCGATGATGATTGATTGATTGATTGATGAATGGATTGATTGGCAAACTGAGTTGGTTTTACTTTACTTTCGTACACAGCGTAACTCTTACTAAATGTCTTACTTCATATAATACGATACGATATCCAATGCTACACATCTACTCACTTACACATAGCACTCTAAGCTCGACTCGACAAAAACAAAAGAAAAACAAACAAATGGATTACCGGAAAATCCCCCTCATCCCATTCACGTGTCCGTGTTGCTTAAGTTGCTTCCTAGTTTGTATTTATTTGTATTCGCTGCATTTTGTATTGCTTCGTTTCTCCCCTGCAGTCCCAGCCACCCAAGAGAACACCCAAACAGAAGCAAAACAAAAAGAAAGATAAAGAAAATGAAAGGAAAATGTAAACGTAGCCTAAGATAAATATATATATACAAAGATATATACATATGTATATGTATATGTATATGTATATGCAAGAGAAAAATCTTAAATTAATGCCTTACAAAACAAAGAAAAATTACATTTATTTAGCAGTTAAAGCGAGGAGGGAGGATTTATGCATGTAAGCCGTAAGCATGGAATAAGAACAATTTCTTTAGTATAACTAACTTAAACATGCCATAAATAAGTTGTAACCTTAAGTTTGCATTGCCCAACCACCCACTCCCACTCCCACTCCCTGCTCCCCACACACACCACACACCACATTCCCCATCCCACAATCCCATCACCTACCCACCAATTCGTAGTACTTAAAACGCTGAACAAAAGACTTGCGAGCATTTCTTTCTAGAACATGACATTAGAAGAAACAACAAAAAAAACATAAAACAAAAAGAAAAAGAAAAAGAAATGAACTTGAATATTTAGTTGATATGTGGACTCCTTGGTTTCCTATTGGTAAATCATATACTATACTTAATCCACAGCCACAAACAAGTATATTCTATGCGTAAGAATGAACAAAATGCTCAATGTACATTGATGTTAAACGAAATTTAAATGTTTGAAAAGGACCGCCCACAACTGCTTGACGCACTGGAAAGCTGAAAAACGCACTCCCGCTGCACTTGCCTCCCACGTAACACACAAAACACACACACAAATATGTGAAATGACAGTTCAAACAAAAACAAATGCTAAGGAAACACCTTAAAACTAAACTAAATTAATGCTAAGTTGTAGAGAAACGACGAGAACTACGAGATTGCCAAACACGAATGTTCGTTCGTTCGTTCGTTAGTTTACCTTTCGTTCATCTTTCATCTTATCCCCACTTCCATCAAGCAAAATGCAAATATCGCTCAGTTTTATGTTGAAAGTATTTTCGTATGTATTGTAAAAACTAAACAAATTCTAGTTAAGAGATCTGCAAATGCATTAATTAATGGATATATAAAGCCTATGAATATATATATATATATATATATGTACATGTATTTACAATTACTCAGTAAGTAAGTTTTTTTTTCCACACAAAACTACAAATAAAAACAAGCAAAAAACAAAAGAAACAAATACCGAACAACAACTACATGCTCGTACATACCCCAGTATAATCGTATATGTATACTCAACACACACACACCCATCTGAATATATGTATGTATGGTATGTTCCATGGAAAGCGCGTTTTGATTTGCCTCCCCTTAGAGCCCAGTGTTCCAGTCCCTTTGTCCCTTATTCCCCAATTATGGGAGATCGCTGCCTCCCGTCCCTTTCTGTTTGTTGCCCAAGAGCTTTTGTAGCTTCTGTTGCCTTGTCAGAGCTTTTTACCTATAAATATACAAGAATATTATACACAACCTATCGAATAATAATCCTGCAAGCAAAGCATACCACAGCCCAGATCAGCATCAGCCCATTCACCCGTTCAATGAATCGGCCCCACAATCTGTGCATGTACTTTATGCTGAACGTGCAGCATAAGTATCAAATATGATGCCAAAAGTAAACGGAGCGAAGCGTAAGCGGATCAGAGACGAGTGCACTTCTCGTACATTTCGGCAGAAAGCAGAGTGTAGCTTTTGATATACAAACATAAACCGAAAACGAACAAACTAAGCAAAATCTAAAGAAAATTATACACTAAATCTGAAACGGAGAAAAATAAATCATATTTACTGTACTATAAATCCAAACGAATGTTTTTTTTTTGCCATCAAAGTGGAGCAGCAATGGGTAATGGGCTGACACACGGAACACTTGCAAAACCAAGCCATCACAATCGGCAGGTCACTGCAAATCAACTTGCAAATCAGAGCTTTTCTTTTTAGACAGCTTGGGGTGGGTGCTAAAACATTATAACATAAACTGGTACGCCGACAGAAGAACAAAACGCTGATACAGAATCTTAGATACATATGTAACAAATTGTATTTGAGCATTGTACAACTATTATACAGCGCAGCAAGGGAGCCGAGCTTTGCTTGACTTGCATTTGAATGCAAGGTTTAAGTTCAGGAGCAAAGCCTTACAATTACGAGTATAGAGGATAGGAAAATATCTGGTTAATACATTCTGGGCAAAAAAATACGTTCAATAAATTCACTAAGTTGAGGCATTGAGTAACGGGACGAGGAACAGTTGCGTGACAAGTATGTACAGGCGAGACGGGCGGGGGCTGGGCTAGACCTCAATGCCGGAATCAGAGCGCTTTCCCTGGCGCTGGAGGGCATCCTCGGAGGTGAGTTTCGTCTTTTCGGTACGCGTGTGCCAGACGAGCACGTCCCGGCAGGAGTTGGCCAGCGGCTGCAGCTGTTGTCTCGTGGTAAGGTGTCGCAGAATCTCGCTCTCCTGGTAACCACGCTGCACCTCGTAAGAGAAGACTGCCTGCGGGTTCTTGATGAACAGATCCATGCTGATTGCGAAAGCGGCCATGTCGATGGGGAAAGGGCGCTCCGGCCGCCAGGCAGCATTGAAGCCCACCACCTGTGTATTGTCCTCGTTGAGAATGGGACGTTCCACCATCAGGCCGCCCACCAGACCGACGGGCCAGACGCCGACGTGGCCGGGCTTGATTTTCGTCATCTCGACAAAAAGTTCCGTGGAATAGGAGTTGTCGTCATCCATGAAGAAGACAATGGCATGTCGGTCCACATCCACGTGGGTGCGCAGCCAGGCCAGCGCCAGGTTGCGCTGCTCGACGCCTCGTGGCTTAATCCAGTTGGGATCCTTGCCCTGCAGCTTGAACTCGGGAGGCGTCTTGATGTTCAGCTGTGTGGATCGCTTCTCCAGCCCCGCCCGTTGCAGCAGGCTGCGCACCAGCGGAGTGGTAATGTTGGAGTCCTCCACAATGATCCAGTGCAGGTTGGGCAGCAGCATGAACAGGTGCGACAGCCTGTTGCGAGTGGGACAGAGTGGTTAGATGTTAGCAATTCAGTTTCCGGCCTGTAGAGGCCGCGCTCACCTGGTCAATTCCGCTTTCTGGGCTGGCCGTGAGTACGTCGGCGTTATGGCGTAGATGTGGGGCAACGTGTCCGCCTCTTGCTGGGCATACACGGCCTGCAGGTACTCTGGACCCTGGCAGGTGTGCTTCCCGTTGTGGTGGACAAGCTTGAGCACGATGAGGAAGACTATGATGAGCACCAGCACTTGGCGTGGGCGAATGCGAGCCTCCGACATGCTGGCATATGCCATTTAGGGAAGATTTCACGGAGATTTTATCTCTTTTAAACAAATTTCATGGAATGTCCAAAACAAACAATAACCGCGGAGCTATCGATAAAATACACCGTGAGGGCCTCGAAAATATACCGAAATATACGTTTTAATTTTCAAAATATACCGTACATATACCGTCGACTCAATTTCGATGTCAAAATATACCGTAAACGGTCACCCTGGTCACTAACCATATACACTAACCATATAGTCACTAACCACATAGTATAGTAGATTGTCAATTCAAAGGAAGCGAAACGTCACCGCAGAATGTGCGTCGCAAAGTCCCAGGCCTCTGCCAACGTCGCAGCTACAAGTATTAGTGCGTGTAGAACACGCAGCTAGAAGTCCCAGCTACATATGTATAAGTGCGTGTAGAGCACGCAGCCAGAAGTCCCAGCTACATCTGTATAAGTGCGTGTAGCCAATGATTTTTTAGCGCTCCAAACCGGTTCTGGCTTGATTCACACGGACACTGCAAGTAATGTATGTGTTGGTGCGCTGTCTTTCTGAAGTCCGATGGAACGAAAATTCGTTTTGATGATTTGATTTTTTTTTCGGGGCTTGGCGTATGAACCTGACCTACCGCAACATGTGCAGAATGAGGGGTGGGGGCTGGTGGACCTTTGGGGGTTGGAAAAAATAAATATACCATTAAAAGTTGTTATTGTAATTGTATGCAGTAATTGTTTAATATGCAGATTTTATACTGCTTTATTCAAAATTGTATGCATATATTATGGAAACGCATTCGCGCCTTCGCAGTGTCCGTGTGAATCAAACCAGAACCGGTTTGGAGCGATAAAAAATCATTGGCTACACGCACTTATACAGATGTAGGTGGGACTTCTGGCCGCGTGCTCTACACGCACTTATACAGATGTAGCTGGGACTTCTGGCTGCGTGCTCTACACGCACTTATACATATGTAGCTGGGACTTCTGGCTGCGTGCTCTACACGCACTTATACATATGTAGCTGGGACTTCTAGCTGCGTGTTCTACACGCACTAATACTTGTAGCTGCGACGTTGGCAGAGGCCTGGGACTTCGCGACGCACATTCTGCGGTGACCTTTCGCTTCCTATGAATTGACAATCTACTATACTATGTGGTTAGTGCCCTGGTCCAAAACAAACAAAAACCGCGTAGTTATCTAAACCGTACGACCCTCAAAAATATATCGAGATATCTTGTATTATATTCAAAATATACCAGAAACACGCCGACTAATAAGTATTTGGCGATACTGATATTCCTAGCTAGCTAGGCCCTCAGCACTTAAAATATATTTTTACCCGATCGATGAATAAATTGTCTGCAAGATATGAAAATTGTTTGTCTTATTTAAAAAGGTCATCATTGAGATGTTGAATAAAAAGTGAGAAAACCGAAAAGTATATAAAAACATTGTCTTTAATATTCCTTCAGAATGGAATTAAATAAATCGCTAAGACTTACCAATATCTTTAATGTGCCATATACATATATCGCCTTTTTTAGCTTTTAAAAATCCCTAAATACAGTACTACATTAGTTACTACATTTTTAGTGTGTGCTCGCTGACAGAGACTGGCTGCAAATTTAGCGATACATATCGCTCTCTCTTAGAGTTGTATGCTATGCACGAGCGCTAATTTTCAAGTGAATGATTAAACTTACTGACTCATTGAGCAGCCATCTTTAAAATTGAAAGCCTTTTCTTTTGCGTTTGTGTGTCAATTATTTCGTTAAAAATCAACACGATGTCCAACAATCAACATCAAATCGACTTCAAGCTGGAAGTTGGTGAAATCTCTTCACTAACTAACGACATCGCTACTCCGGCCAGTAAGGGCAAGGATTTGACTGTTGGCGACGCCACTCCGGCCAGTAAGGGCACGAATTTGACTGTTGGCGACTCCACTCCGGGCAGTGAGGGCAAGGATTTGACTGTTGGCGACGCCACTCCGGTCTGCAAAAGCGCCGAGCCTAACGCTTCGATGAATGCTACCGCTGGCAACTTGGGGCTAGCTTCGTCTACCAATGAAGACGCCACTATGGGAGCATCCAGCCACGTGGCCAGTGCACGCAAGTTGATTTTCCACGGCTGTTGCAAGTTGACGGACGAGGAGTTGTCTGAGCGCTACAAATTGAATGAAACGACTGACGAGGAGCTGGCTTCGGTGGGCCTCAATCGACAGGAGTTCATTGACTCCTATCGCGTAATGGACGAAATCTCAATTCTGCACGGAGAGCCGCAGCTCCTGAAAAAGAAGCCTGAATCAGACCCCGAGGCCAAGCCATTGAAGCACTTCTTATTAAAATATAGATTCCCATTGCTGAACGCTTTGGTTGTGCTCCTTTCCACCGATGATAAACTCTTCCGCACATTTATGCAGCGCGACTTGCCAACTGACTATCCGTTGCACCTGCCCACGTATCGAGATTATCTGCCCGAGGAGCGTAAAATCAATCTTTTCATAGGTTTTTGCAGACACCTGGACTCATTATACCTGGGGCCCAGGCGCTTGGAAGCTCTCAAAAAGGTGTCCACCTACATATTTGCCTTTCGCCAGCGTGAATTTGCAGCACGCGCTTGCAGCAACTTTTCATAATTAAATGTTTTTGCTGTACGATTAAATGCTGCATTTAAGTAGTCAATAAATCAAATGCTGCACGATTCCCTGCCTTGTTTCTTTTGTCTATGGTTAATTGGTCCATCTAGCTCTGGCTCTGGATCCAAATTGGGAATATCCCAGACATAGACAGATGGCGGTTATGTTTAGCTATGGATGTACATACATTTGGTATAGGCTAGGAGCTAGACCTCTATGGTATATAAAATATTTATGAGTACATATAGCTACAATTTGCTAAATTCTCCGTTTATTTGATTGGCTTTGTGGCCTCGGCTCCAACAAGCGCGCACACGCAGACCAGACGGCCGGCAATAATGCAAGTTTGTAGAAATATAGCATTATTCGTATTAATCGTACATATTGTTAAGTATAAAAAAAAGGGTACAGATGCTTCTAGATTTCACACACACACTACAATCAATTTTGGTACATGGCTCTGACGCGAAAACTGTAGGCTGCAAATGTTCGTCGTGTTTCTATTATATTCAAGGTGTTTCTTCTTGTTATTGGTTTGTGTGCGAATTGTGTTTTGGTGTTAAATGAACATTTTGGCAGCTGGTGGGCAGTGCAAAATCACTTCTTTCCGGACTTCTTGATGCCGCCGCCGACTAGAGGTCCCTTCTTTGAGGCGTTCGCCTTGGCCGCGTCTAGGGCCTTCTGCTGCTCCTTCTGCTTCTGCTTGAAGGCGATCTCTTCATCGTCCATGTCCTTGGCATCCTTCTTAGGGGCCTTCAATGGCTTCTTTTTACCACCCTCACGTCCAGTCATGATTCCACAGTATTCTTAATGCAAAAAGGGAAAATTGAATATAAATTTTGCCAAAATAGCTGTCACGCACCTTTTATCACGTTTTCTCCACACGGTTGTCGCAGTCGTTATCGATTTCGCTTATCGCACAAAAGTACCGATTCATTTTTTCAAACCTACCCTGTGCATCGATAAATATAATCAAACGCCGCGGGAATACGATATAAGATGTGAAGCAACACTTTTAGTGTATATTTGCCCTATCGGATAAGTAACGCCGCTTGTGATAATATCGAGATCAAAAACTATCCCTACTAATATATTCGGCAGCCCAAAGAAATATCACCTACGATGATATTATCAGCATAATATATCGATATTTTGATGTACCAGTATCGATGCTGCAAGTGCAGCTAATGCGCTTGTTTGCTATCTTTATAAACAAATGCAGCAGCAGCAAACAGATGTGAAAGTATTGTGACAGTGACTTGGATTTTGTGCGCGCGAGACCTGTGTGGCTGCAAGGTGACACTATCACCATCGATACAGCAGCCACAGCCTCCGCCTCCGCCTCGGCCGCAGGCGGATGCATTTCCATCTGCAGCCAAAATAACATTACTGTAAGTTGCACTCCCACTCTGATATTCTAAAACGCATCTGCATCCAGATAGAAATCTCGCTGAGGGGCCAACACGGAAGAGCCAGTCGTGTCGCCATAACAAATGGCGTGACGACAAATTCAAACAAATTGGATTAACAGCACGATAGAATCTGTGACACAGTTGCCATTGTAATAATCCACAGCCCCAGTCGAAGCCCCCCACCTAATGCTATAATAGCCAATATAGTGGATGCCCTGCGGCGGCGATATTTATAGCGATTAGCATAGCCGTCGTTATGGGCAAGACCAGGTGGAGGCAGAGGTGGGATTGGCAGCATGTGTGGGTTGTGGCTGGAATGGTTGGGCCCACATTCCGTTATGTTCTGATTTGAGTGACCCCCAAGCCTTGAGCATTTGAGGCATACTTTTGGGATGGGTCTGCTGTGATTACAGGCAACGCACCACTGCCCCGATGGGTGCTGGATGCGGTTCAGGACAGTCTCCGGATGCCAACGAATCTCTCAGACCCAGACTCTGACCATGACCTGTTCATGCTCGCATCGCTTTACCACAGATAAGTGAGTGGACTCTACGCGTACCCTGAGCCATTCACCCATCTCCGATATCACCCATCGAAATAGAGAGACTTTTGAGTACGAATATGTAAGGCAATCATCATGCTCGGACCTGGACTTTGAGCCATGCTCGGAAACACACGCGATAACGCGCGGGACAGCCACTCAGAAGTCAGAACTGGCAACTGAGAAACTGGTTTCCCCTGCTCTTCTATTCGTCTGTCCGTCAGTCAGTTGGTCGGCTGCTTTCTCTGTTGCTGTCAATTGCCACAGCTCTAATTGGACGAATGTGCATTCAGTCAGTCCGGGTCAGAAGCACACTTAATCCCGACACAGATCAAGATCCCAGCATTCAAATTCAAGTCCAGATGCACATCTGTACTCACATTGGTACTCATTCCTCTGACATTTTCCATTCGCCATTGTGTCTGCAATTGATATGAGCCGCGTCGAGCCGTTTGAGGCTGCCGTTTCATATGCAAACCAAATAAATATAACTTGCGCGACCTAACGAAAGTATTCTCAAGTGCCCGCGAGTACGCGGGAGTACGAGTGCAAATACTCTACTCGTACATGAAGGTACATGGATGTGCGATTACGATTACAATTACGAGTGGGACAGTATGTCTGTCCCATGTTCGGTGCAATCATTGCTGTTGAATGCTTATCAGAGCAGTGTCGTCGTCTGTGCTGCACGGCCACCCTGCCGCTCTTCCTCCTGCCCCCGGTGGTAAGCCATCAACGACCAGTGGCAAAGTGATAATCAATTGGCCATAACCCAACCAATTGCCCGGCTACTTTTAGATTGGGGAAAGCTTTGTGTGTGGGAGAGGTGTGTTGGGGTGTCTTTATGTTGGGCGACTACAGGGTTAGTAGGTGAATGAAGGGTGGATGACGGCAGCGAGCGAAGGCCACTCGAAATTGGATAGACATATAATCAATCAATTTTACAAAACGGACAACCAATTTTCCAACTAATCCGCAGTTGCGCGCGCTGGCGACCTGGTGTAGCTGTAGCTGTAGCTGTTGCTGTTGCTGTCTGTAGCCTGTGGCCTGTGGCTTGTATGTGGCTGCTTCTGTCCATGGTACACAGTCAGCCAGAAGAGCATCATGAGCACCATTGGCAACGGAAACAACGGGAACGGCAACGGAAACGTGAGCCTGATGCAGGATATCCAGAACAAGTACTCCTTTCTGGAGAACCTTTTTAGCAAGTTCTGGAAATCCATCATCAAGTCAAACTCCTCGCTAAAACTCCAGCTGCGAAACATCAAATGGAAGAACCCAAAGGCCACGCCCGGCTGTGCCTATCAGCCGACAGAGGTGGGTCCCGCTCACTTTGGGTTTTCATTATCGGCTTCCCATATGTTAATTAATTTCCATTTTCTTCATCCCTAAACAAATTCAAACAGATTGAACAGATGGCAAATGTGATTACCCATGGGATGTGGATACTGCCGGCGCTGTTTGCGGCCATCAAGCTGTTCGAGCGCTCCACCAACGCCAGCCAGTATCTGGTCTCGTGGGTCTACGGTGGCGCTCTCTGCATGCTCTTCACCATATCGACGTTCTTTCACTGCTCCTGCTACTGTGCCGAACACAAGTGAGTGTAAATAAGTTATAACTTTTTGCCCAAATGAATTATCTTTCCATTTTGTAGACTACCGAGGAACTACAAGGCCTGGCCCGCCTTTGGCTGGCGCTCGTATCAGGGACTAAAGAATGTTCTCCACCGGTGCGATCGGGCCATGATTTATGTGTTCATTGCCGGCTCCTACTTCCCCTGGCTGACGCTGGAGAACACCGACCACTCGGCCATTCTCTTTTGCATGGAGTGGGTCATCTGGCTGATGGCTGGGGTGGGCATAGCCTACCAGCAGGTGAGCAAGAGCCGCAAGAGCTGCCATTGTGCAACAAATTTGTAACAATAATCCGCTCGTCAGCTCTTCCACGAACGCTACAAGTGCTTGGAGACGTTCTTCTATCTGGTGATGGGACTGGGACCCGCCCTCGTTGTGGTTCTGACCGGCCACCACTTCCATGGGATGATACAGCTGAAATACGGCGGCGCCTTCTACATACTGGGCATTGTGTTCTTCAAGTCGGATGGGCTCATACCCATGGCCCATGCCATCTGGCACCTGTTTGTGGTGCTGGCCGCCGGCTGTCACTATTATGCCATATTGGTCAATCTCTATCCCAGCGACATTGGCATCAGCGATTAAAGTGGCGCACACTGCGCCCTGCGGAGAGAAACAGCGAATTTATACCTTAGAGTACTTAACGACAGGGATTCGGGTGCGATATACTGATGTTGATGTTGATGTATGTATGATGTATTCGCTTTGTATTCGAAGGGTTCTCGCTTTTGTCAGCCATTTGTAATGTGTTCCTTTGAACGATAATACGGTAACACCCCCCAACACCCACCCAAGTCACTGCTGCTCCACAGTTAGCCAAATTTTATGACGCCAAGCCCTGGGCCCTGGCCATGGCCTCGGTGCATGGAAATAGGAATAATAGTTGTAGCCTAGAATAACGAACGACTAAAAACAAACAAACAAAGAAACAAAAAACTAAAATCGAAACGATTCTTGTGATCAGTATCTGCGGTCTTGCCAAAGATTCAAATTATACGTGGCTCATGTCTCTACTTCTCTCATCCTAATATACGTTTATACATATATTCTATTATATACACATATACATAAAATACAATATATATTGTATACTACTATATTATATACACTCTTAGACCGTAGCGTACTGTACAAAATTAGATATTGATATTCATTACATGTACAAATATGTACAATATGCAAATGGTATGCAGCCAGACAGGCAGACAGATTTATATACATGCTGCACTGTACTGTGCTGTGTGTGCACACGTTTTAGCTATATGTTTCTCAAAGACTTCGACCAGACGAAAGGCAAGAACCTCAGACCCGAAAATCATAAGCAAACAAACAACCAAAAACCCAATTTGTACAAAAAAGAACATGAATATTCCAAATGCCCGGCCACCCCCTCCTGCCTTTTGAACATTAGAAGCCCGCCTAGCATGCATACAAGATACATGTTTATATACAGATATACATATATACATCAGAGCAGAATATATATACATACACATATAATTATATACTCTTATATACGGATATGTATTGTAGTTCGATTTTAAGGTCAGACCATCCTTGTCCCCCTCGCTCCGTCCCCGTCACACAGTCACGAACCAATCTGTTGGCCAGCTCATTGTTTAGCTCAGGGACTACTCGATGTATTCGCAAATACTGAAAGATAATTATTTGATTTGATTTGAGATTCGTGATGGCCCTCCCATACCCACACCCACACCCCATCCCGATCCGTGGACTTTGTTTCTGGCTCAGTTCGGATCTAGACTAGATCTTAAGACAAAATCCTTTGGCATCCAAACCAAAACTCAAAAGATGCTTCAATAAACGTTCATTTTGAAACGATCCCAGGTCTTTTATTTCTTCGTTTCGCCTCAGAAAGCGAAAGTTGAAGCAGAAATAAGATTCAATTGGGCTCAAATTTGGATTGGAGGCACATACAATTGAAGTAACTGTTTGTGGTTCGAGAACTTCCAGGCGATAACTGATGCTCCCAGCTCAACTGAAGAGCCATAAGCCAATCTGTTTTTGCACTTTGTCCGTTGGCAAAAGTTTCTTGCGAAATTAAATTTAACTTTTATTGCACACGGAAAATATCGATAGTAAATCCATAGAATCTTGGGTCTATCGATAGTGTCTCTGATGAGTAATAATGGACGGCGATAGGGAGAAACAAGCACACGATGGGCTTCTGAACATTTTAAACGCTTTAAACACACCCGGTGGATGCTCGAAAGGATTGACGCTGTCCGAGGCGACTCTTCAGGAGCATCGGCAGCTGCTGCACGATATTCGGAGGGGAGGAGGCGAGGCCCTTGTCGTCACAGCCGACCGAGTGCAACAGCTGCTGGCGGAGGCGGACCAGAGGCAGGACAATGACCTGCTGAGGGCATGGCACCTGTGGCTAAACGAGGTGATCCTCAACCGGCGGCTGCTGCTGGCCCGACCAAAGCTGCTGGTGGACTGGCTGCTGGAGCGGGCGGCTCTGAAAGGTGTCGCGGAAGAGCTGCAGCTGCTGCACACCCTCCTTAAATCGCTGCCTGTCCAGGCTCTGCAGCTGTTCTGGCCAATTCTGTCGATTCTGTCCCAGCCGCAGGACGTGGAGGCAGCCCTGTTGCTGGTCATGTGCCAGGAGACGGTGTATGTCGAGCTGGGAGAGTCGGATGACCCGAAGCTTAGCCAGTATCTAGCCAACAACCTGCTGCAGCCACACTATGAGGGACGCTGGGTGTCCTCTCATTCGGAAAAGCTACCCCTGCTGCTGGCCCACACCCTGCAGCTCCTACAGAAGATCGTCAGCAAGAATTGTGACTACGCAGAGCAGCACGTCCCGGAGCTGATGGGCTACATTTTGGCCTACCTTCCGTATGGCGCTTGCGGCGAGTATCCCGCCAAGCTGCACGTGCCGCGGCGGGTGCAGCCTGCCCAGCAAGCTGCTGCCTATGCCACCGAGGAAGAGGATCAACACCAGCCCACCAGCAGCCAGGGCAAGTCCAGCTCCGGCGGCAAACGCAGCAAGGTACGGAAGGTGCGCACCCGCCAAAAGCAGAAGAGCGGCCCGTCGGGTGAGGCAGGTGTCCACAACATGCCGCAGGACCGACTACTGCTGATGAGCAATCTCGACTACGGCTGCCTCACCGGAGACACGGAGGCGGGCACTCCCTCCGACTCGGAAGCGCAGCTGGCGCAGGCAGGCGCCCCGAAGGCGATGCGGCAGCTGCTGGCCAGCGTGAGAATCTCCGCCCTCCACCTGATGAGCGCCCTTACCAAGCAGCTTCCCCGCCGCTGCCTGTACGGCTACTGGCACGCGATCTTCCCCAGCGACGAGGGCTCGCAAACACAACACCATCTGCTCCATTTGGCCAAGTTCGATTGCAATTCCCGCTGCCGCGCCCTCGCCCTCCAGCTGGCCGGACAACTGCTCTACGGCTCCAAGGGATACCTGAGCCAGGCCCACTCCAGGGGACCCTCCACCTTCACACCGTTCTCCGTGAGCCTGGCCAGATCCGTGATGACCGTCTACCGTTCGCTGACGTATATCCTGGAGCGCGAGTACGCCCCGCCCGTGCTGACGCAGTGCCTAAAGTGCCTGGCCATCCTCGTGCAGGCCACGCCCTTCGACCAGCTGGAAATGGGCTTCGTCTACGAGTTCGTGCTGCCCGTGAAGAGGCTGGCGAAGAGCGGAGGGAACACGCCAGTGACAGTGGCCGCCCTGATGGTGATGGAGATGCTGGTGGCGACACCACGACTGACACAGGAAATGTCCAGTGCTGTGGGCCTGGGCCCTGCACTGCGCATAGAGGCTCAAATGGATTGCCTCCATCTGGAACAGGAAGAAGCGCTTGAGCGTGAGCACTTCTGCGAAGAGCTCTGCGATTCGGAAGCAGAAGAAGAGAACGACAACGAGCAGGAGCAGCAACAGAAACAACAGCAAGTGGAAGCGGCTCAGGGGCTGATTGAACCGTCATCGATACCTCGCAACTCGTGGCTCCTCCGCATGGTACTCCGCTATTTGGGCTGTCCATCGACGGAGCCACCGCTGCAACTGGAGTGCTACCAGGTGCTGCTGGCCATGACCACACACATTGGACTGCTGCGGAAGCAGCTGGCACACCTCGGGCGGGCCATCGCCGCTGGCCTTATGCATGCCAATGCGGACGTTCGGCTTCATGCCGCCCGCTGCCTGGACTCGATGGGCTACCAGATGGGGCGCACCCAGCCGGAGCCGTCCGATCGAGAACTCGAGCTCGCCTTCTGGCTCGGCCTGTTGCCTCATATTTTCAAGGCCTTCAACGCGGAGGCGGCTCCCGGTCCCCTCAAGAGCGCCCTTTGCGACTCGCTGTCGAACATGGGAGTCGTTACCTTCGAGGATCTGCCCACTGGGCAGCGCCACAGTCTGGTGGCCTTCCTTAGCGGCTGCAGCAGCGACGATGCCGAGGAGCCCCTGGTGCGGGCGGCCGCGCTGCGTGCCCTGGCCGTCTTCGCTCAGCATCCGTCGCTGAAGGCGAACCTCGTGTTCGTGGAGAATGTTGCAGAGCTGACGCTGCGCCTCACCAGCGACTCCCAGGTGGCGGTGCGAATCAAGGCTGCCTGGGCCCTGGGGAACATCAGCGACGCCCTGCTGGCCGGCGTCTCTGGCAACTCGGAGCGTGTCTATGATGAGCTGCTCGACCGCCTAATCCAGACGGCTACCAAATGCTGCAGCGACCACGACAAGGTGCGGGCCAATGCGGTGCGGGCCCTGGGCAATCTCCTCCAGCTGCAGCTTCAGCTTCTGGCGAGGCAGCGCCCAGACGTTGGCCAGGAGAAGACGCAGGCACAGGCGGCCATTATTAAGCTGCTGGACTGCATGCGGACAGCGGGCGGGGCCAAGGTCAAGTGGAATGCCTGCTACGCCATCGGTAGCCTGGTCAAGCATCGGGAGTTCTTCTCCGGCAGCGCTGGCCTGGGCGACCTGCTCTTCCCCTCACTCTGCCAGCTGATCGTCCAGCACGCCAACTTCAAGGTGCGCATCAATGCCACGGCCGTCCTGCTGCAGGTGGAGCAGCGCGCGGACTTTGACTCGCACTTTGCGCTCGTGTGGCGCTCGCTCCTGGAGGCCCTAGAGCGCTCCAATGCCCTGGACAGCTTCGAGGAGTACAACCATCGGGACGGACTGCAGCAGCAGCTGTGCCTGGCCATTGTCCACCTGCTAGCCTTGGCGCTACCCAACGATCTGCCCGCCTGTCAGGCGGACCTCGAGCAGCGTGTCGACATGGTGGTGCCCAATTGGCGGCGCGTCGCCTATCGCATGATACCCGAGCAGTCGGCGCCACTCTTCACCTGCAGCCAGCTGCTCGATCAACGACTTCATTCCACTGCCGTCATGCAGCGTCCAGCCCTGAACTTCATAGTGAAGACTCTGCGACTGGACTCGTAGCAAATCATTCATGATGCCCAGTGTTATCCAATAAATGCCACACGCTTTACACAACAGCAACATCGATTTCTATAAAGTTTATTTCTATATATTTTGTATACTCTCGTACATAATGTAATGTGGGGGGAGGGACCTTCCTTGAGCGAAAAGAGCGCCCGCCGCCCGCTCATCGATCGCTCGACTAGCGACTGCTCCACACACGATATTCCTTCTTTCTGATGTGTGTCTCTTTGTGTAACCCCATAGAGCAGCAAGTCCCAGGGCAAATCATGGAGATCTAAATGGAGTCTAGTCTGTTTTGTGGTCGGGATATCTTTTCTACACATATACCCTGCTCTTGGCTCTGCTCCCTTATTGCACGAAAATATGAAATATGAGTGGAAAAATATGAGTGCAATCAACGGATTATTCTCATTGTTAAGAGAGTGCCATTCTTTGTCCTAAAAAAAGTTTTAAAACAACTTAAGAACTCGTTAAACACGTTAAAATGCAACTCCACCTCGACAAAGAGAGAGAAATATGCCTTTGAATGGCCAAAGCACACACTAGTGGGAGGGGATGGGTGCAGAGATATGCAGTTAGTGGATGAAGAACATATAAAGATACATGTGTATCAATTTATATATTAATTTAATGCATTTTTTAAGTGCCAGTGAAATGTCACAAAAGATCTATATTTAGTGGCTAAAAATACAGGATCGGAATAAGGTTTCAGTTGTGTGCTGTGCGTCCCCATCCTCAGCCTGTGCATATGTGATACCTGACTCAGATGCAAATCCACAGATGCAATGTTTCAGTTCAGTTTCAGTTCGAATAAACTGTCGAAAAGTCGAAGAGTTAATATGGATTTGTGGCGCTTCTAACCGAATTTCTATTGAACGAAGTCTAAGAAGAATGCGAAACGATTGTTTTGGGCTACTTTGT